GTAGACAAAGATGCTACATCGAAATTTACCAGCAAATCTCCTCTTTCTAAAGCATGATTATTTACTAACTGTATAAAGTCTTAAGAATTTATTATAAAAAACTTTCAAATATTTAATATTTGATTTAATCGAGTACAAATAAATCGTGATGTTTTATGCATCAGACTACTTCTATTATTTACAATAATGCTTGGTAAAGTACCTTCCTTATAAATTTTGGGCAGATCATACGCGTTTGGGGATCTAGCAACCCGTATAAGTTATTTCATTTTCCACTTTCCAGCTCTCCCCCGTTTACACATTTCTGCAATAGACTAAACTACGTATTTTTCGTCTATAAGTAAGTTTTCCAGACTTACGAAATAGGTTGAATACATATTATATATATAGTCTACTGTTAGTCTCGAAAACCTACTTATAAACGAAAAAGAAGTAATGTAGTCGATTGCTATAGCAAATACTTCATCAACAATCCCATCACAGAGTGTGATATGGGAAAAGATCTGGCCTTCCTTGAAATTTATTCTTGTACTGTGATTCTAGGGCACTTGTTTCCGTGTGAAGTAGTGATTTATGTGTCGAGATTATACATTGCACCATAACTATTCGAGTCCCGCTGGGGGTGCTGATGAGATCTAGGCAAGGTGGAAAATACAGTATCCTCTTGCTTGGATAAGACTACCTTTTGAAAAGCAAGGATATGTGATATTCATTAGAAACGTGAAGCCTACTCATATCGCTGTGGGAAAAATGCGATTACTAGTCCTTAATCAGCTTGGAAGAAATAGGATGAATACATCTTATATAAAAAATATCTATCTCCAATTATCGGCAATATTCTGACACAAACTAGATGCGAAGAGTAACTTGGTTTCGATGAATCTCCTGAGAAAATCTACAAGCCTCTTCTCCATGAACTTTCATACGAAATGAAGGTCTTCCCAATAATACACAAACTAGTTGGGCCAATGCGCACCTGCTAATATGTACATCTGGGCAACGGAAATGGCTTGCGCAAAGACAACTTGATAAGGTAAATACAAAAAAGAAACAAAACAAAAGGATGAGTCACGGCAAAAAGAGAATAATTTGAGTGTTATAACAAATTAGTGGTTTATTATGATAAGAAGTGGACATGAACAGGATGAATTGAGGGTTACGAAGAAGATCAATAAACAGATTTATGGCGAGCGGCTGAGAACCAAGCAACCAGGCAGATGGGCTTGCAATAAAGAGGGATAGATAGAAAAACAGTTGTCAAGTACTGAAATAGGGGCTCCTAGAAGTGAGCAACCGTAAGGTGACCTCTTAACCTCATATGAAAATAAAGTATCACAAGGTCAAATAAAGAGGTGTAAAAAATGCGAAACACAATTCACTTGTGTTGCTATTTTCTGGAGTATGTGATTTTTGAATCAACAATCATATCTTTTCGCAGATATAAAGACCAAGATGCAGAGGCCTCTATTTTGGTCGCCGTCTTCTTTCGCTGCATAGAAGGGGTTTGGTCTCGTTTTCGCAACTTGGTAGCGTTGTCAGGGCGACCTAGCTGAATGCACCTTGTCCAATTCCTCTGCTATATGAGTTATCATAATTCCCAGCCTCAGATCATCGGCTTGGTACATACCCATACGTTTTGCCGGCATCGTCAGTTGCGAAAGCAAGGTCAAATTTTATCTTTTGTGCTCGCCTTTCTTTATGCTCACATTCAAAAATATATACAGGCCAAAATATTGTCTTTAAATACAATTTCTACCTGCCAACTATCCGGACAATGCCGACGAGAAATGTGAGCTAAAGTACGCAAACTGTTTGACAAAGCGTCAACCGAATGTGTCAATATAATAGAAATATGCATATGAAGAGTAGCTGGATTTCGATGAATCTCTTCGCATAATACTGTTGTAGAGACCTTAATTTCGTAAGAAAGGCCAAGATGAAGAGATTCTTTGGTTGCTCTCACCCGAAGACAAAGACTGATTACTGTTCTTCTGCAGCCATTCAGTTTTAATACGACGTTCAGGTTGACTTGGTCCACAACACACATTCCCTCGTGTGGAGTGAAAACGAGCTCAGCTTTTGTCGGCAATATGACGGAAATCTTCGGAGCTGAAAACAATGCTTGAAAAAGCTTCACGTCATGAAGCCTTTGCAAGAATGAGTTCCAGCTGGGTTCGTTTTCCCCCGAAACTAGGGATGATGAATAGCGGTCAACTTGAACGTAATATTAAAGCCAAACGACTATAGAGCAACAGAAATCAGCTATATATATATATAGTCATATAAAAAATGGACTTCATCATTAAAAATGGTAATAAAAATAGCATTGTAAAGAGTGGGATTGAGTTAGAGTGACTGTTCTTAAGTATCTGTGCTAAATTCTGCTCAAGTGTACAGTAACAATCTTATCCCAGGTATGAAGACCAAGATGGTGTAGCCTTTTGTGTGGTCGCAGTCTCTTTGTTTTCGCAACTTGGTCATTTTGGTAGGAAGACTTAGAGGAACGCACCTTGT